GTCTCCCGAGCCCTGCCCGGGAAACACCGCGCCTCTCTCGTCCTGGGAGCTGATGGGCTTTGCTGCTGCCTGGACTGGCAGGGCCTGGCTCCACATCTCCACGGGACCTGAACCGGAGAAGCCCAGCCTGTCAGACTCAGCCTCCTCCTTCCAGGGGTGGTGGGAGATGCTCCGTGTCCTTCGGAGCCAGGGCAGGCACTGGCAAGAGCCCAGCTCTGAAGATTTCAAAAGCCACAACTGCCTTTCACTGTGCGTCTGTGATAAACTGAAGCTGGGCTTTGCTGACCCGACTGCTGTGGGACCAGAGGAAGGCTTATCCTACTTCAGTGAAGAGAGAAGCAAGCTGAACTAAAAACATACCACTGGCAGTGGTTCTTGGGGGAGTTTCCCTGGTGAGGGTCTAGCTAAGAATCATAGAGTCATAGGTTGGAAAAGACCTTAAAGATCATCAAGTCCAGCCGTCACCCCAACACCACCATGACTGCTAAACCATGTCCCCAGGTGCCACATCTACACGCCTTCTGAACACCTCCAGGGATGGGGACTCCACCACCTCCCTGGGCAGCCTGGTCCAATGTCTGACCACTCTTTTAGGAAAGAAATTTTTCCTAATATCTAATCTAAACCTCCCCTGATGCAACTTGAGGCCATTGCCTCTCGTCCTGTCGGTATCAGAAATCCACCTGACTTATCTTTCCTCCTCCTCAAGTCCATACAGAGTTGACCCTCCAAATTTAATACATGCCTAGAAGTATAATCCTCTTTGAAGGACAGCGTGAAGTCCAACAGACCTATTGGCTAAGGCTCATCAGCTAAAACAATGGATGTTTCTACCTGGCATCCCCTCCTGTGCTGTTAAATTCTTCAGCTGCTGCCAGATGACACTTGAAGAGAAAAACAAATTTTAATCCGCTCCTTGGAGCTGTCAGTCCCCAAGGTTGGTATCCTCCCACAGCTGTAACTGGGAGCTGACTCTGAATGCAAAACCAACCTTTGCTGCCAACTGGTCGTGACAAGCTGTGATTATTGTGCACGCTTGCCACTGCGCTGCCCAGCTACCACGTTTAGATTTAAAGACCCAGCTGGGCAGGGAACAGACTGACTGACAGCAGTTTCTACGTGCTCTCCCCCTAACCCCACCATTTTCCTTTCTAGAGTACCTAACTGAACCGGTACGGTTTCCAAAGCTAAGCAAGGCAAAGCTTTCCAGTGTCTTCTGTTGCTGGGTGGAATAGAAATGCCAATTAATTAAAGGGGGGAAGACAGATTTTCATATGGAGACACAGGATTGTTCCAGCAGCTGCCCAGTTGTGTCTTGGTCCACATCTGGGCCCCCTACAAGCGCTGGCATCACACATACATTGGCCTCTTCTCCAGCAGCTGTCGGTGGCCCATGAGGAGCCTGGCGTTAAACCACCTCGCCATCTCCACGCTGGAGTCCGCGGCGAGAGCAGAGCCCCATGGGCGTCAGTGCGGTGGTCACCACAGGCCGGGCCCCACGCTGGGGTGTCAGCAGGCCAGCAGCCAGCGCGGCTGGACGATGC